ATGATGCAGTTTAGCTAATATTTCGAAAATCAGAAATGCATCTGATTAAAATGTTTAAACAATCACGAGTCTGCTATGTCTAGTTAATAAGTTTGCTGTTAGCAACATAAATAAAAAATAAAGACATGTTATATTAGACAGACTCACATCAATTATTGAAATTGAGCCATAGAAACACAAGTAATGAAATTATTATTTTGACCTTTTGTTGTATTTAAATTTTCTATCTTTTGTTTTATAGATTTATTATTTTATAATTTAGTATTAATAAAACGAGTATTTGTAAATGTTGACATTTGTTTAATGATGAGAGTTGACGTTGACCGGTCATTAAATTTAATACTCCCTTGTTTCAATATAAATGATGTTTTAAGTTTCTCTCTCCAATTTGATTTTTTTCCCCTGGTTTTACAGCTCGTAAGTGAATTATTTAAATAATTTAATATATAATCATTTTCTTTTTCCTATTGGAAGAGAAGAGATGAGGGGAGGAAATAAGATAAGAGAGAGACAGAGGAGACGTGGGTCATGAAAAAAAGTGAAGAATGGAGATGTGGGTCAGAGACAAATCATCCTCATTTAATTTGAAAAAAAAAATTTATACCATCAAAACAACATTTATAAAAAAACAAAGAGAGCATTTTTTTTAGGTAGATTATCTATTATTAAAACAAAAACAATGAATTTAAAAATATAGTATTAAATTCTTTATTTAAATATATAATCATAATTTTTAATTTATGTTGATGGTATTTTTATCACTTATCACATATATAATTTTATTCTTCCAATATTCAATCTTATAAGTAAATAATGAAATCACAATTTATACCCAACGAACGACTGTATGCTATAAGCTTAAAACACTATTAGTTTCTACTTTCTACGAGGTAGAGTTACTGTACTTGGCCCTTAATTTCGGGGAAACCTCTATCATCTATCTAGAGAAAGTATGGCCTGCTGGCCCCTTGCCTCAGCCTCATTTAATATGGTCGTTGAATATTGATTCCTCGATTTTTATGACGAGAAGTGCTTTAACTTTGAGCAAAACAAAATTATATAACAATCAATTTCTTAATCTCTAATTACGATAAACTGTTGATATAGAATATGACAAAAAAAATCAAGAAGTTGGTCTATTTAAGCACTTTATTCAATCCAGAACAATAAATTTAGTATACATATACCATGCATTACTAGATCAACAACAACAACAACAAAAAGAAATAGATAATAATTAAATTAATAAAAAAAAGGAGATTCAAAATATATTACAAGTTACAACTGGTAATCACTTATTAAAAAAGAAAAATGTATGATTTTGTTTTTGCCTACTTATCTAAAAGAAACCAAAGGGTACAAAGAAGACCATATATACTGTCATTAAGAATTTGATACAAGTCACGTTACAACTTGGCTGCGGTGGTAATTTTACAAGGCACGGTATGGACTTAGGGTTTTTTACTTGTGCAAGCTATCCCGTCATTACCTGCCAGAATCTGGTACTTATCTCTCCTTGTAAGCTTGGTAGGTTCAAAGCCTAATGCATTGGCGAGCTGACTTTGCACATGATTGGCCACACCGAATCTTGATTTTTCATCATTAACACACTTGGACAGTCCGGATACACAATCAAGCAACTGCACAGTGTAACTTGGAGATGGGTTCAAGAGAAAGAAAAGTGGATCAAGGCACTTGAGCCCACCTGCAGTTGTTCCATAAAACATTGTAACGTGACTGTTACAAGCTACAGGAACTATGTTATCACTCATCTCTGCAAACAACGGGCTAAATCTTAAGAGATATGGTTCTCTACATGTGGTCCCTTCTGGGCAAACTACCAGGTCCCCTTGTTTTAATAGCCTTTCCATCATTTTTGCATCTTGATCCCGGTTTCTTGTTAATCGGACGGTTTTGATTGGTGCCAAGATCTCTGACATTCTGCTTAGACTGTAAGTGACTGCTGTAAAGTTTTTCTTTAATGTAAAAGAAAGATATAAAGGGTCTAGTAATGTTCTATGATTACAAACATAAAGGAGATGCTTTGAGTTGGGGTTGGGCGATGAGTGGGAACTATTTGGTTGATCTACGGAAAGGAATAACCCTGAAAAGATTAATATGGGGATGGAAATATCGAAGGGAAGAGTTAAGGCAACAACAGCCCTGAAGATAGCAAGAATGAAACCAAATGGAATCCACATGAACATGGCGACCGTAGCCAACACGGTTGGACTAAAAGCCAGTCTACCATCATGGAAAATGAGCGGTTTTGGGTATTTATCTGTTGGTAGCTGTTGCCAGCTCCTCTTGTCAGTTCTTCTCACCATGTAAATCTCCTGTTACAATAACGAAAACAAAAGCATCAGAAAGTGGATTCTTAAAAGTACAGTTTTACACAGTATTTTAGTTGATATCAAAAACGGAATCTTGATTATTGTTTTGTAAAAGTAAAGTTGTCAATCTATATAAGATAAGGACAATGTTGACTTAAACTAAATGTCAGACGAAAGTACGGAAACATCTTCAACTGTTTTTTAGTACTCTTTGTACTTTTCATTTTGATGAAGAACATGAAGTGGATTCATTTCCAAAAAGATATATAGATAAAAAAACTCACCTTACACTGAAGGAACAACTTATGTCCATCAAGGGACTTGTTGAAGCGAGTAATGCCGATAACATCACTATTGTTCTCCTGTAAAACAAGCTTTTCTTTCTTTCTCTCTTCCATGAGTCCAACAAAGTACCCACAGAAAACCTTTAGCTCTCGTCCAACTACAACATCTATCTCCAAATAATCTCTCAAGAAACTATCAATCATTACTTTAGGTATATTACTTACGCCGACCTTTTTGCCTCCTCTTTTCACCACCTCATAGATTTCCAACCCAACATTCTCCAAGAAGAACTTTGGCAGAACAGCTGTTCCAACTCTGAAGTTGTCTTGTTTAATCGCAAAGAAGCAGATCATGACCATTATTTTCAAGCCCATCTCTTCACCAACTAAACAAATAAATGGATATGAAACGAGTAGAATAAAAGCCCTGAAAAGACCTCCAGCTTCAAAAGCCACAAGCATAAAATAAGGGAACAATGATGAGGATTTCAATAAAGCTCCTTCAACATCGAAGATCAAAATTTGGTTTGAAAGGTCTGATCTGTGAGCAAGAGAATTGTACCTTTGAAATTTACTATAGTTGTTGCTGACAGTTCTGTGGAGACCTTTTGAGTTCCTAAAATGTTTGAAGAGAATTCGATAGAAAAAAAAGAAGAGGGTTTCGAAAAAAGAAAACTTCAAAGACATATTTGCGCCTTCGCCTTGTTCTCAGTACGAGTTTTAGCAGACAGAACTTTTGCGCTTTTATACATGATCGATTCAAGAATGCCCTCACATTTCATAATTATTACAAGCATGCCTAGTCTCTAACTCTTTTATCCCTTATTCAGTGCCAGGTTGGTACGAACTCCATGTGATTTCAACTTTTTTGGACGCTCACACGGTTCCAAATGATTAAGAACACGTTTACTAATTCAACTTTTTCAACATGAAATGAATGCTAAAGTTTGACTTTGTCAAATGACGTGAACCAATTAGTGTTAATGACATTGAAGGTGTTGTAGTTCTCCCACGATTAACATCCAACTTGTGGACATGCATATGGGCAACAATTTGGCTCAACCGGCGATGACTCTACCTGTTTATACAAAGGATTATTCAGCATTACCCAGCCCATTAATGGAACCGATTACTACTTGACATATAATCTAGTTCATAATCTCTGTCCAACGCCCCTCATCTACTAAAAAAAAAAGTGCCTTTTTTGTGTCTCTTTTGTGCATGTATCTACAAGATGAAAAAGGTAATTCTAAAACTTGTGTACATATTTACTACTTGTGCACTTGGTGGTGTTGAGGAATGAATTATTATGCAAAAAATAATAAAAAAGTTAAGAAGATAAATTATCTAATTAATTGTAGTTATGAGATTTAAATGATATATATTTCAATATGCCTGTCCTGTCGCGGGTCGCCATTATGGTTCAAACCTAATTTCGCAACGGTTGGCATAGTCCCACTAGTCCCACGCTGACCACTGCTGTGCACTGCAAGCGTAAAGGCTCAAGGATTTGACTGTGTCTCTGATCGATGGACTAACTAGGTGGACAGCTGGTGGACATTTGAAGTGATCAAACTTAAACATTCAATAATTGATTTTCCAAATCAGTGCTAACAAATATATGAACTTTTGAATATAAATTGATTTCATTTATATTTTTTGCATACATCTGATAATTAATCAAAAACACATATATCAATTATCAAGAAACTTTGTGTAATTGAAAATCATACAAGTTTCTTCCATAATTAAGTAGCATAAGGGTATGTCTGTTACCAATTAAGCCAAGATCAGTTATGTCTACATAAATTTGCAGATTCTGCAATAATATTATATAATTTATAATCTCAACTAAGACGTTAAATAGACAAGGGCTTAATTAGAAGAGACTAATCTCGGGATCCAGGGTTTAGTGGGTACCCATTAACAGACGCCAACTGCGTATTAGAACGTACATGCCCTCTAAACTTTTCGGTCCACTGCTTTTGACTCCATTAATGACAGGGAAGGCCCATTAATGGCTCTTCAATCCGTTTGATAATAAGAAATAAGTGATCATGCCAGTTGGTTTCGATATGTTTAGTGTTTACATTAGCCGTTCGATGAAAGAGCCAAGGGTTGACGCAGAGGATGAGCTTCCTAATAAATAAGCAATTCCCATTCAAGTTGTTTTACTTTTACATCAGCTTAAAAAGACTAAACCATGGATGCAAATACACTAATCAAGCAGTTAAGAGTTATTTTCAACAAAAAAAAGATGTTTAATATTATAGATAGGTTGATAACTATATATCGGCAAAAGACTGCAAATGTGGCTTGAGCCGACATGGGAGGCCCATAGGAGATGAAAGCTACACTGAAAGGAGAAAGGATACTTCCGGATTCATGACATAGGAGAGGATAACTNAGTAATGCCGATAACATCACTATTGTTCTCCTGTAAAACAAGCTTTTCTTTCTTTCTCTCTTCCATGAGTCCAACAAAGTACCCACAGAAAACCTTTAGCTCTCGTCCAACTACAACATCTATCTCCAAATAATCTCTCAAGAAACTATCAATCATTACTTTAGGTATATTACTTACGCCGACCTTTTTGCCTCCTCTTTTCACCACCTCATAGATTTCCAACCCAACATTCTCCAAGAAGAACTTTGGCAGAACAGCTGTTCCAACTCTGAAGTTGTCTTGTTTAATCGCAAAGAAGCAGATCATGACCATTATTTTCAAGCCCATCTCTTCACCAACTAAACAAATAAATGGATATGAAACGAGTAGAATAAAAGCCCTGAAAAGACCTCCAGCTTCAAAAGCCACAAGCATAAAATAAGGGAACAATGATGAGGATTTCAATAAAGCTCCTTCAACATCGAAGATCAAAATTTGGTTTGAAAGGTCTGATCTGTGAGCAAGAGAATTGTACCTTTGAAATTTGCTATAGTTGTTGCTGACAGCTCTGTGGAGACTTTTTGAGTTCCTAAAATGTTTGAAGAGAATTCGATAGAAAAAAAAGAAGAGGGTTTCGAAAAAAGAAAACTTCAAAGACATATTTGCGCCTTCGCCTTGTTCTCAGTACGAGTTTTAGCAGACAGAATGATATATGCAGAACTTTTGCGTTTTTATGCATGTTCGATTCAAGAATGCCCTCACATTTCATAATTATTACAAGCATGCCTAGTCTCTTACTCTTTTATCCCTTATTCAGTGCCAGGTTGGTACGAACTCCATGTGATTTCAACTTTTTTGGACGCTCACACGGTTCCAAATGATTAAGAACACGTTTACTAATTCAACTTTTTCAACATGAAATGAATGCTAAAGTTTGACTTTGTCAAATGACGTGAACCAATTAGTGTTAATGACATTGAAGGTGTTGTAGTTCTCCCACGATTAACATCCAACTTGTGGACATGCATATGGGCAACAATTTGGCTCAACCGGCGATGACTCTACCTGTTTATACAAAGGATTATTCAGCATTACCCAGCCCATTAATGGAACCGATTACTACTTGACATATAATCTAGTTCATAATCTCTGTCCAACGCCCCTCATCTACTAAAAAAAAAAGTGCCTTTTTTGTGTCTCTTTTGTGCATGTATCTACAAGATGAAAAAGGTAATTCTAAAACTTGTGTACATATTTACTACTTGTGCACTTGGTGGTGTTGAGGAATGAATTATTATGCAAAAAATAATAAAAAAGTTAAGAAGATAAATTATCTAATTAATTGTAGTTATGAGATTTAAATGATATATATTTCAATATGCCTGTCCTGTCGCGGGTCGCCATTATGGTTCAAACCTAATTTCGCAACGGTTGGCATAGTCCCACTAGTCCCACGCTGACCACTGCTGTGCACTGCAAGCGTAAAGGCTCAAGGATTTGACTGTGTCTCTGATCGATGGACTAACTAGGTGGACAGCTGGTGGACATTTGAAGTGATCAAACTTAAACATTCAATAATTGATTTTCCAAATCAGTGCTAACAAATATATGAACTTTTGAATATAAATTGATTTCATTTATATTTTTTGCATACATCTGATAATTAATCAAAAACACATATATCAATTATCAAGAAACTTTGTGTAATTGAAAATCATACAAGTTTCTTCCATAATTAAGTAGCATAAGGGTATGTCTGTTACCAATTAAGCCAAGATCAGTTATGTCTACATAAATTTGCAGATTCTGCAATAATATTATATAATTTATAATCTCAACTAAGACGTTAAATAGACAAGGGCTTAATTAGAAGAGACTAATCTCGGGATCCAGGGTTTAGTGGGTACCCATTAACAGACGCCAACTGCGTATTAGAACGTACATGCCCTCTAAACTTTTCGGTCCACTGCTTTTGACTCCATTAATGACAGGGAAGGCCCATTAATGGCTCTTCAATCCGTTTGATAATAAGAAATAAGTGATCATGCCAGTTGGTTTCGATATGTTTAGTGTTTACATTAGCCGTTCGATGAAAGAGCCAAGGGTTGACGCAGAGGATGAGCTTCCTAATAAATAAGCAATTCCCATTCAAGTTGTTTTACTTTTACATCAGCTTAAAAAGACTAAACCATGGATGCAAATACACTAATCAAGCAGTTAAGAGTTATTTTCAACAAAAAAAAGATGTTTAATATTATAGATAGGTTGATAACTATATATCGGCAAAAGACTGCAAATGTGGCTTGAGCCGACATGGGAGGCCCATAGGAGATGAAAGCTACACTGAAAGGAGAAAGGATACTTCCGGATTCATGACATAGGAGAGGATAACTGTTAACTTGGACTTGGACTTGGGTATTAAATGTTTGAAATTTTCAGTATTTGACCATTCCCTTGCGAATATTAAGCGCGTTTATTCTGTAGAGTTGCACGCAAATGTGTACATAATAATACTATACTACATCTACATGGTCGGACACGGTGAATATGGTAATTCAATAATACTGCCATTGAATCGCCCTATTTATAACGTCCCCAATCAAAACTTTCATTTTCACTCCTAATTTGGTTTTCAAAAGGTGCCTAGCCCTAACAAAAGTCCACTGTTGTTGGTTCAAAGATATGTATCACATAACATCAAACGCTTAATACTAGATCCATATTAAAAAAATACCCTCAAAAGTCTTCAGCCGACCACGCTTTTGAATTAATCTCCCGGACGGGGAGCGCTCATGTGGTTGTGTGTGGTATAACAGAAATAGCAAGAAGAATTTAGAAAGGAGATATGGTGATTGGGCCCCAAATGCCATGCTGCCTTTATTATAAAAGATTTGCTCCAATGGAGGGTAGAGATCGAGTCTTTCTATTGCCAAAAGATCGATATATTGTCCATTCATAATCCTGGAGATGGGCTGTTTAGGGATATTACTAAAATGAAAATACTGATAATAATGGACCATTGAAAAAGAGACTACACCATTGTTGTTGTCCAAACATGTATATGAAACAAAATTAATGTTCAATGCTCCACAAGGTCATGCATGCATGCATGTTGATGATTAACGTCAAACCAAAATGTGTGAAAAGAAGAGTTCGCGATGGAAAATTTCAGAAAGTAGACAGAATCTAGATTTTGTATTCCCTTAAATGAAGCTTACTTTCACGTAGTTTAATTTGATCCCATTAACAATAAATGAACCAAGAGATGCTGTAGTATGTACTTGCAGGATGGGATTGTGGATCTTACCATTTCAAGCATTAATTAAAGTGACTGGAAAGATTGTAATGGACTGATTGCTGCTCGTAATTGTTTGTAAAGCGTTGGTAGTGATAAAACAAGTGATCACTTATCACAATACTCATATGTGCTACACATAACTAGAATATCATATAATTAATAGATTGATCTGGTCAATGTTCTTAATTATAGGATATTATTTCTTTCATAATTATAGGATATTTTCTGTAATTAATTCTTTTATTTTTTTCATTGTAAATGTTCTTGTATCTAGCCTATGTATTGTAAAATTACAATGAATGAAATATATTAGAAAATTGTTCCACAATTGTGTTTATTGACATGGTATCAGAGCCTACTTCAATCTCTTCTTCTTTACCCTAGGAATTGAAGATTGGTCTTGTGTTCACAATTGTTGTTTCTTTCATATCAATCCGCTGCGAAATTTTTTATATCTTTCTATGGGTGATTTAGAAGAAAGTAGTAATGATTCTCTAAAGAAGAATGAATCTACTACTATATCAGCTGGATTCCATATGTAAGAAACTTATTCTCTAATCAGTTCGGAATGACTTGAGGGTACCAATTATGTTGAGTGGTCTTTGAATGCTCAAAATAAGATCCGTGGGAGGAAATGTTGGGGTTTTATTTCGGGTACTAAGGCTGCACCAAAAGATGTTCGTTCGGAGGAATATGAAGCACGAGAAGATGAAAACTATTGGTCAAATCTTGGCTCCTTGATGCAATGACAAAGGACATCAGATCTCTCTTCCTTCTGTGACAAAAGGAAGGAAAAGGAAAAAAATGCAGAGAAAACGTAGATTGTAACAAAAGGGAGGAAAAAGGGGAAAAGTGCAGAGAAAACGCAGAGGAAGGGAGAGAAAATTGTTCTCTGAATCTGTTTTCACTATTTGCAGCTTTTACATGGACAATATATATACAATTGCATAAAGGAATCTTCTAACAAGCTAATAAAGTAAAAATACATTAATACCCTTTTGAACAGCACAACAATAACTGTAATAACTACTTCTTACTCAAATACTCATAAAAATATACATAATAAAATACATGGATAATAACATAAGTACGTAGTTGAACCCAAATTTTTCTTTTATTAAACATATACATTCTTTATACAAAATTAGTATCATAAACAAAAACTATGTAGACAGTGTAGCCATTCCTCCTCGCGTGCCGACGTCCATTCGACCGTGTCCTCACCTAAATCCTTTAAAAACATAGAAAGACAACGGGGTGAGCACAAATAATGCTCAGTAAGTAAACCCTCTAGTCATCTATCCCCGTAACTCTCTCTCTCTAAGTCTTTCCTTACAATTCTCATTTACTCTCTCTTTTATACTTCTCTCTGTTTTCTCTTTCTGTTTCTCTCTCTCTCTGTTTCTCTTTCTTAGAACTATTTTCTACTAACTCTCTTTAGTAAGTCACAGCCCCATCTTACCGGGGGCACGGTTGGGACTCGCTCCTGCTCTCCGTGACTTCTACTCTTTCTTAGCCGATTAGACTTGGTTATGCATGGATTCGGAAGCCTTGGCCATGTGAGTATATAATCTCTCTCTCGGGTACTCTCGGGTATAGCCCTCATCCACATGCACTCTCACGGGCTACACCACTTCTCTCTCTCATACTCATGCCGCTCTCTCAATGCGGCGTACATGCGGGAATACTCTACCCATTACTCATGGGTTTCCCATCGCACAACCTACTCTATTCTCTTTTTCTCTCTTTTCTCTTAATAAAGCTCACACTCAAAGTTCTATACTCTTTCTCTAATGCATAATTAATGCATATGGATGATTCATGCTCATTAATGCACTCATGAAATGCACAAATGCAATGTTACATCAAGATAGTCATTCTGCACAGGTCACACTCAAGAAGGCATAACTTGAGTTAGACATATCAAATTGCTACGATTTTGGTCTCCTTTTAAAGCTTAGAGACAGGGCTACAACTTTTATGTTTTGGTCTCAACCCAATTCAATCTGTAAGATGCCCAAAAATAACTCAGAAGGTTACGGCTGTGACAGGGCAGTTTTCACTTAGGCTTTTCATCAAACATAATGCATGCATACTTTAATTCTATTTTTGCTACATCTCTACTTCTTTCTTTAACCATTCATTCATGGAGCAAAACTCCTCCACAATAAATCTAAACATGGCCAAGAAAAACACTTCAAATATTCTACTTAAATTCTTTCTAAATGTAACCAAACTTCACTTGGTTACCACAACTTCATTTCTACTTCTCATGGCTTAAATCTTCTCATCAAAAGCCATCAACTCATCAATAATATCATTCTCAACAATCAATCTCAAGCTCATAAACATAAGCATGCATATCAATCATTTGATTGCTTGAACCTTAACTTGGGTTGGATTTACTTACCTTATGGGTAAATGGCTTCTCTAGCACTTCTCCTTCCCTTTTGTATCTTGTCTTCTATCTACAACTTTAAACAATAACAACATAAGACTTTAACAAATCATAAGCAAATTCTCATCTAAAGCAAGAATCCTTACCTTAGGATGCTTTAGATTAAATCTCTACTAAAAACTACCCCAAAAATCCTTAGAAATTCTTGGAAGATTGAGTGGAGGATTGAGAGAAATTAGGGAATGAGAATGGCGGTGGAGATGGTGAAGAATGAAGGGCTTTCAACATTTAAACCCTTTTTAGCTCAACTTACATACAATCATTCCCATTTTGCCCTTGCTCTTTCTTGGAAATTCCATCTATGTCCTTTAGTCAATTACAATAATACCCTCATTTTTATTACATTCTCCATGAAATTCTATCTCTTTTCACTCCCCAATTTTTCAACTAATTTTGAGTGAAAAGACCATTTTACCCCTAATGAAAGTTTAAGGGATTTTCTTCACATTTTTCTCAAAATAACTTTAACAAAATTCAACTAAGGGCCAACCAACCAAAAATAACAACATGCAAGCTCAAATGAGAACAAATCAATAAACATTCAAGCAATGCAACAATAATTTAACTACATACCTCAAGTGGGGCGTTACAATAACAAACTAGCTAAAATTATCCTACATCAATATATGGTGTCTTTCCTGCAGTTTGTTGTGTCTCATGCTCCCCCCACAAGATGGAGAGTGGAGGCTGAGAACTCCCATCTTGGATAAGTGATGATGAAGAATAGTGGAGGGCAGAGCCTTTGTTAGAAGATCAGCCAACTGGAGGTTGCTAGGAACATATCAAGTAGAGACACTTCCGTCTTGAATTTTGTCATGAATCAAGTGACAATCGAGCTTGATATGTTTAGTTCTCTCATGGAAAACAAGGTTTGCAGCAATGTGAATGGCAGCTTGGTTATTACAATGCAATAAGGTAGGTTGAGGATGAGGTACTTGGAGTGTAAAGAGAATGAAACGCAGCCAAGTAAGCTCAGAGCAGGTAGCTGCCATGGATCGATACTATGCCTAGATAGATGAAAGAGAGACGATGGATTGCTTCTTAGATTTCCAAGAAATCAAGGAGGGACCTAGAAAGATTCAGTAGCCAATTACTGAAAGACTAGTGTCGGGGCAAGAGGCCCAATCTGAGTCACAATATGCAGCAAGTTGAAGAGAGGATGAGCTAGAGAGAAGTAGTCCCTAACCAGGTGTAGCCTTGCGGTATTTCAAAATTTTTTTGGCAGCTAGTAAATGCATATTAGTGGGTTGAGCCATGAATTGGCTCAATGTTTGAACACTATAGTAGATGAAAGGCAGAGAGATGGTGAGGTATAAAAGACGACCAACTAATCTTCTATATACACTCGGGTTAGATAAAAGGGTGCCAGCAGTTTGAGTCAATTTCAGATTTTGTTCCATAGGAACCTTAGTTGGTTTGCTACCCAAACTTCCAGAATCTGCCAAAATATCCAAAGTGTATTTTCTTTGGCACAAATGGATGCCTTTTGAAGACCTTGCAATTTCAATACCAAGAAAATACCTCAAAGAACCGAGGTCCTTAATTTTGAATTTGCTAGCCAAAAAAGACTTCAACTGGTTCACAAAATTAATGTTATTGCTGGCAACAAGGATATCGTCGACATATACAAGCACAGTTGTGAATGAACCATTTAATTCCTTGGTGAAAAGGCTATAGTCAGCCTTTGATAGAGAAAAACCAGAATCAATAAGAGATGTAGAGAATTTAGAGTACCATTGCCTCGAAGCTTGTTTAAGGCCATATAAACTCTTGAGTAACTTATAGACTTGGGTAGGTGTCCCTTTGGTATAGCTGGGAGGTTTTCTCATGTATATTTCCTCAGTTAGATCCCCATGTAAAAAGGCATTATTTACATCAAATTGATGTAAATGCCAACCTTTTATTGAAGCAATTGCCAATAGACATCTCACGGTCACCAACTTAACAACAGTTAAGAATGTCTCATGATAGTCTACCCCCTCAAGTTGGGTGTAACCCTTGACTACTAAGCAGGCCTTTAACCTCTTAACTGACCCATTAGAATTATATTTTACTTTGTAAACATATTTACAATCAATCGGCACTTTGCAAGGGGGTAAGTCTATAAGTTCCCAAGTATATTGTTTGCTTCTAAAGCTGCCAATTCTGTGTCCATGGCTTGACACCAGCCTGGATGTTTTAGTGCTTGTTTATAGGTATGAGGTTCAAGATGGGTGGAAATAGTAGTGGAAAAGGCACGATAAGCAGGAGAAAAACTATGATAAGACAAAGTATTAGCTAAAGGGAAAGGTGTACCTAGTAGGGGACCTTGCTGCCTGGTCAAAAACTGAGGTGAGGAAGTGAGAGAGGTCTGATCACAATGAAAGTCCTGCAAGTACTTAGGTGCACTCCGAGTTCTGGTTGACCTGCGAAGAAGAGGAGGAGGAGGAGGTGGTGGTGGTGGTGGTGATGGAGAGGAAAGGGAAGAATGGTTAGAAGGTGCAGTGGAAGGTGTAGCATCAGCAGGAAAGGTTGCCGGACATGGTGGTGAAGAGTTTTGCATGATTGGATGCTGAGAAGAATAAGAATTAGAGGGGAAAACAGGAAGGATTTGTGATGGAATAGTAAAAGGAGTGGGAATAAGAAGGGGAACAGAGGATGTATGAGGGGAATTAATGGTGGTGAGACTTGTATTGAAGGGAAAAATACTTTCATGAAACACAACATCACGAGAGAGAAATATTTGCTCAGTTTCTAAATCTAGCAATTTGTAACCTTTCACTCCAAAAGGGTAACCCAAAAAGACACATCTTCTCCCTCTCATGTCAAACTTCGTTCTTCCATGGGATAAGGTGGAAGCAAAACTAAGGCAATCGAAAACTCTCATGTGATGGTAGGTAGAAGGCTTATGAAAAAGGATTTCTTAAGGGGTCTAATTATGGAGTAAAGGGATGGGGGTTCTATTTATTATGTAGACAGCAGTTAGGATGAGGTCACTCCAATATTTGAGAGGGATATGTGATTGAAATTTTAATGCACGAGCTACATTCATGATATGTTGATGTTTACGTTCAACTATCCCATTTTGTTGAGGTGTCTCAACACAACTTGTTTGATGAATAATACCCTTGGAGGTGAAAAATTCTTTCATGAGAAATTCCTTGCCATTATCACTTCTAAACATTTTTATTTTTGTCTGAAATTGTGTTTCAATCAGGTTAAAAAAGCTCTCAATACAAGTTCTCACAATGGACTTAGTTGGAAGCCAATAGACCCATGTGGTCCTTGAAAAATCATCCACGAGAGTGAGAAAAAATCTGGAACCATCAACTGCGATAGTGGAGTTTGGGCCCCAAATGTCACAGTGAACAATGTCATAAGCATGCAAAGATTTAGATGTGGAAATAGAGAAAGGAAGACGATGTTGTTTGGCTAAAGGACAAACACAATAAGTTGATTGATTAATAGAATGGAAATTCTATCTTACAAGAGGATCATCAATTAAAAGTAATCTAGAGAATGACATATGTCCAAGACGACAATGCCATAGATCAAAAATTGGATTTGGACAAGTAACAAAACCACTAATGAGCTGGTCTTTGTGAAGGAAGGCCGGTAGAACATCAACCAAAGCTGAGGGTGACACACCAAATAGTAGCAAGTGATAGAGACCACCTCTCACTTCACCCATCCCAATCGTTGTCCAAGATGCTAAGTCTTGTACAAAGCATGAAGTGGAAAAGAAAATAAGACAGCATGAAGAATGAAGAGCAAGCTTTTTGGCAGAAATCAAATTGAAATGAAAAGAAGGAACACGAAGAACGTTTGTCGGCACCAATTTATCTGTTAAGTGGACAACACCAATGTGAGTGACAAGGACATCTGCACCATTTGGTAACTTAACCAAGGAAGAAATTGTGGCTGTGACAGAGGTAAAATAGGAAGGACAATAGATCATGTGATATGTTGCTCCTGTATCAATTATCCAAGGAGTGGTGTGTGAAGGAATGGATTTGTGTGTTTGAGAGGAACAAGGAATCATATCAGAGATGTTGGATTTGCTGAGATGATGAGGGGATGGTTGGGCAACAGACATGGAGGCCATGGCCGAGCTGGTGTCTTTGGATTGCATTTGATGTTGACGCTCCTGTTGTTGAATCATAAAGAAAACTCAATTGAGAGGGGGGGTAATGGTTCAAGAAGCATAATCTGATCTCTAAAAGAGGAATAAAAGTCAGATAAGCCCATAAAAAATTGTATAACATAGTCTCGTTCATATCGCTAATGGATAATCTTCAGCTTGCCACAATCACAAGTAGGTAAAGGGTCATAATAGCCAATTCATCCCATAAACATTTCAGGCAACCAAAATAAAGGCTAACAGAATCCTAACCTTGAGAGAGATTAGCAAGATCTCGTTTAAGTTGAAATATGCGGGGACCATTTTGTTGGGTAAAACGATCTTGAAGCTCAAGTCAGAGAACCCTGGAATCATCAACCAAGGCAAGGCTAGTTTTGACAGAGCTACTTACGGAATTTTGGAGCCAAGAGACGACTAAGTCGTTGCATCATTTCCAAGCTTCCAAAAATGGGTCAACAACATCAGTTGGTTTGGAAAGAGTCCCGTTGATGAAGCCAATCTTGTTCTTGGCTCGAAGGGCGCAACTCACAGCACGAGACCAACTGACATAGTTGTCAGCAGTCAATAAATCTGAAACAAGTGCAGCAGCGGGGTTGTCACCACTGTCAATACGAAAAGGGTTGAAATGATCTGAAAAATTGAGAAGCCTTTCGATAGATGACGAATTGTGAGGTGTTTTAGGGTTTGCATTTTTAGAGTCAGAGGTCATGGCGTAGGCTTAGGATCAAAGGGAGCTCTGATACCATGTGACAAAAGGAAGGAAAAAGGGAAAAATGCAGAGAAAAAGCAGAGGAAGGGAGAGAAAATTGTTCTCTGAATCTGTTTTCACTATTTACAGCTTTTACATGGACAATATATATACAATTGCATAAAGGAATCTTCTAACAAACTAATAAAGTAAAAATACATTAATACCCTTTTGTCCAGCACAACAATAACAAACTAGCTAAAATTATCCTACATCAATATATGGTGTCTTTCCTGCAGTCTGCTGTGTCTCATGCTCTAATACCTTCGGTTGGCTACGACGAACGAAATATGGGAGGCTGCCAAACAGACATATTTGGTCGATCAGGATGCATCAAAAGTCTATCAACTACACTGCGAGGAAATTTCTATCCACCTGAATGAAGGTTCTGTTATTTCTTATTTTGGCAAACTATAAAAAATATGGCAGGAACTTGATGATATTGATGACTGTACCATGGAGTGTGCCAATGATATTGTGAAATATACGACTAAGGTTAATTCCCAATATGTGTATATGTTTTTGGCTGGTGTTGACCCTCAGTTAGATGGTGTTTGAGGTCGCGTACTTGTTACCAAACCACTTCCAGATTTACAAGTTGTTTATGCTATGATTTGTGCAGAAGCTAATCACCAAGATGCTATGCTTGGAGGAAAAATTGGAAAATGGGCTGTAATGGCCTCTAGGAAAATGTCTACCTCAAAGAAGGATCAGAAGTGTACTCACTGTATGGTATTGGTCATATAGTGGATACATGTTTTCGAATCCATGGATATTCAGATTGGCATCCAAAGGGCAAGAAATCCTTTTATTGTGGAGTACAAAGATTCTTGGGTGAATCGAGGATTATTTTTAGCGCATTTTCTTTTCTGTGTAATCAACACTGAGGTTAGGTAAACAACATGCTCGATCTCATTGAAAATCTGATGATAAAATGACCACAAAAATAGAATTTCGTAATTTAGAAATAAGCTCTATCCATATGATATGAAGCAAAAAATGGTCAGTTTCAAGCTCAACAAAAATTTTTAAATCAAAGACACAAGACAACCAACTGTCAATGGATTTACTTTAATCAAGTTCAATTTCAATATTATCTATCACTAGAACTCATCATTACCAGTTCTGAATTTCAATATATTATCAACAGACTATAGAATTTTAGAGGCGATAACGACGCCGATGGTGGTAGAGGTGGTGGTTATGGCAGCCATGGAGGTGAAGAATATTTTTAGAGGAAAAATTTTAGAGTATGTGGTTGTGGTAGCCATGGAGAGTTTTAATTTTGGGAAATCATAATTGAGAGCAAAAAGCCGCATAGGCTCGATACCTCGTTTTACTCAGTTTTTTTAGCCGGTAATAGATCTCGATTGTGGGTGAATCGAGGACTATTTTTGGAGCATTTTGTTTTTTGTCTAATCAATACTAATGTTAGGTAAACAGCATACTCGATCTTCTCCCAAATCTGACGATAAAATGAGCAAAAAGCCGTATAAGCCTGATACCCTGTTTTACTCAGTTTTTTAGCCAATAATGGATCTCGATTGTGAGCGAATCGAGGACTATTTTTGTAGCTTTTTCTTTTTCGTCTAATCAATACTGAGGTTAGGTAAACAACATGTTTGATCTAATTAAAAATCTGATGATAAAATGACCACAAAGTCATATAGGCTCGATACCCCGTTTTACTCAGTTTTTTAGCTGGTAGTGGATCTTGATTGTAGGTGAATCGATGACTATTTTTTGAGCGTTTTATTTTTTGACTAATCAATACAAATTTTAGGTAAACAACATGCTCAATCTCATAAAAAATCTAATGATAAAATTACTGTAAAGTCACATAGGAAGGAAAGAACAACATAAAAAATAAAGCCTCATATGGATGTTTAGAATTTAATTAAATAATACAAGAATAGCATACCTTTTCTACCCAAGAATCATTGTACTCCATAATAAAAGGA